AGTCAGTCAGTCAGTAGACACTAAAATGAGTCACATACGGGACGCTTAACGTTGCAATTCTAAATTAGGTAGAAGCACAAATAACCTGTTTTAACTTCTCGCACCACTATAAAGAAATATTTTTTCTGTCAGTCAGTCAATAGCCACTAAAATGACGTCACATAAAGGACGCTTAACGTTGCAATTTGTACTATAGTGACGTCAGTAAAACGTGCATATGCCATGAATCACAAGAAAAATTAAGCACTCTGTTGGCTACAACATAGCATGACATATGAACTTCAAAAGCAAGAAATAGATATATTTGTTACTCTTAATTTTAGTTGTTGTTTTTTTTTTGCTCTTGAAACACGACACTTTCGGGAACCCTGCGGAAGTACATCTAGTATTGTTGAGTACATTAGAGTAGTATATAAAACTATTATATTGCAAGTTGTGATTTATATGACAAGTTATTCGTTAACTTTCTTTATTTTGGCAGTGAGTTACTTCAGAGTAAACATGGAGATCGCCTTCTGGGTGTACTTTAATACAATATAAACTTTTACTGTGCCCTAGATTCAGTATTTTATGAGCAGTTAGGGTGTTTGTTTAAATGAGATAACCTCAATATTATGTTTATTCTAAGTAATTTTGAAGTCGCTGCAACTGAAAAATGCCTCAAGTGAAGTGAAGAATGAAGTTATATGTATCCTTTCAGCTTCTTTCTCTCCCCCTCTCTTATGTTCGATACATATTTAATTGAAATGGAAACCGAGCAGTAATAGTAAGATATCTATGATAGAAATTGCTAATGGATTTTGAAATTTATATTTAAACGATTAGACTGGAGACCAAGGGGTTCTCAGTAAGCTATGAGTCATAGCAGCTTTGAAGTGTAAACATAACGTCCTGTTTGGAAGGCCAGAATCAGCATTATATGGAATATTAAACAAATATATTAAGTATCTGTTGAGTGATATTTCATTAAAAAAAATATAAACTTAATAAATAAAAGGGGCACGTCATCTCTTAAGCATGATTTTATATTTGTCTTCCTGATAAGAGTAATATAATTTGACAGCCACGGTAATTTTGATTTATTTTTACTTTTTCTGGGGGAGAAAGGGGGTGTGTGTATTGTTTTGTTATAAGTACGTTTCCCCAGAATACAGAGAAGAAATTGGTTTGTTTCAATGTTTTCAATTTATCTTTATTTTGAAATAAATATATTCTCATGACTTTGATAACACCCAAATTATTTTTAGGGTCTATTTAATTATAATTATTGGTATTTTATATGAAAAAAAAACAACGAGCAAAACCACATTTCGATAATAAATACATAAATGTTTCCATAACTTACTATGGTTTGAATCAGAATAACTCAGCCGAACAGTTGGGTTATTCTGTTACAGATAGAACCACACTAAGAATATTAAATTATAAATTACATTACTTCTCACACTCATCTTTGGACCCCCCGTGAGAATGTTGAGTTAGCTTTGTGGAAATTATCAAAGAGAAATAATTTTAATTTTCACGACGACATTTTTTTAAACTACATAAACCGGAAAATGAATGATAAACCCCCCACTAAAGTAATTTTATTATAAGTGCGAAGCTCCAAAGTAGGAAACGCGTTTGTGCGGTACGCTAACCACTCTAGACAACGACTGTTTCGATAGTAACAGAATTTATATATAGTATATAAATGTAAATTACTCTGGCCAGTGATAATCGTATAATACCGTTATCTATGTAGGGTAAACATAAAACTTTAATATGAAAGTTTATATTACATAGTTGGAAATATATCATAACAGTCATTCGCTCATATTTCAAACGGGCTCTCTTTCTCACATTGAGACTGACTTTTCATTCATTTTAGACAAAAACTGTGTTGCTTTGGCAAAACAATTATTATATAGACAGAAAAAGACGCTCGCGCGCATGCATACTGGTATAATGTTTCGCGGTTTTATGAAAGTTTACAAACAAAATGTACAAACTCGTAGCGACCATCGGTATCATAGAAGAATTAGAACACAACATAGAAGAATTAGAGCACAATATTTAGCGAGTTTTTGAATTTAAAGTCTTTTTATTCACCACATCTAAATAAGTCGATTCATAAACAGGATTATCTCTCTAACTTTACACTAAATTAAATCAATAATTATCATATATATATGTATATATATATATATATAATTTATTATAATTTTTTTATTAATAAATATATTTTATAGTATATTATGTATGTGCACGTATATATTACTCTAAACATATGTCTTTCTAAATCAGGAATATCGTAAAGAGAAAATATAGTGTTCAAAGCGCCGTATTGAACTGGTTGTTTGTTTTCGGATATTCGCTCAAAGCTACTCAATGGCTTTCTGCGCTAACTGTCCGTAATTTTGGCCTGATAGACTAGACGGAAGAATCTGGTCAACAGCACCCACTGTTACTACTTTCACAATCTATATACTCCCCCACTATTACTACTCTCACAATCCATATACTCCCCCACTGTTACTACTCTTAAAATCCGTATACTCCCTCACTGTCACTACTCTTACAATCCATATACTCCCCCACTTTTACTACTCTTACAATCCATATACTCCCCCACTGTTACTACTCTTACAATCCATATACTCCCCCACTTTTACTACTCTTACAATCCATATACTCCCCCACTGTTACTACTCTTACAATCCATATACTCCCCCACTTTTACTACTCTCACAATCCATATACTCCCCCACTGTTACTACTCTTAAAATCCGTATACTCCCTCACTGTCACTACTCTTACAATCCATATACTCCCCCACTTTTACTACTCTTACAATCCATATACTCCCCCACTGTTACTACTCTTACAATCCATATACTCCTCCACTGTTACTACTCTTACAATTGATATACTCCCCCACTGTCACTACTCTCACAATCCATATATCCCCCACTGTTACTACTCTTAAAATCCATATACTACCCACTGTTACTACTCTTACAATCCATATACTTCCCCACTTTTACTACTCTTACAATCCATATACTCCCCCACTGTTACTACTCTTACAATCCATATACTCCCCCACTGTCGCTAATTTTACAATCCATATACTTCCCACTGTTACTACTCTCACAATTACTACTCTTACAATCTATATACTCCCCACTGTCACTACTCTCACAATCCATATACTCCCCCACTGTTACTACTCTTACAATCCATATACTCCCCCACTGTCGCTACTCTTACAATCCATATACTACCCACTGTTACTACTCTTACAATCCATATACTCCCCCACTGTTACTACTCTTACAATCCATATACTCCTCCACTGTTACTACTCTTACAATCCATATACTCCCCCACTGTTACTACTCTTACAATCAATATACTCCCTTACTGTTACTACTCTTACAATCCATATACTCCCCCACTTTTACTACTCTTACAATACATATACTCCACCACTGTTACTACTCTTACAATCCATATACTTCATAGTGGGATTTGGCAGCTTCCCTTATAACGTACCCACGAAGTGTGGAGCAGGCTCTATTCATTTTTGCCGTGACGAGATGCCAACAATGGACCAGCAGCCATAATCCGACACGCCAACTCCAAGGCCACGCTCGGCTCATTATCGATCAGATCCACGATATCAGTCGCTATTGATTCGTTCAACAATATTTTTAAACATTTTTCTCGTCTACTACAGTATTTCTCGTTTATAACTTCTGACATAATTCATATAAATTTTCGCTCTTATTCTAAGAGTATACACGGTATATTTTTAGTATTTTCCATGAATTGTACAAATCTATCTATATATTACATAAGACAGAGTTGGCGGTTCGAGTTCTGCAGTTCGATTTTACCGCAAATGAAGACTTAACTGAGCGAGGAGGGTGATAGCAAAATATGTGAAGCCGAAGCCAAATGAAAGAGTGTTTTAATGCCGAGCGTAGTAAGGCTATCTTTGCATCGGACGAGCGGTTTGTGTGATGCGGCTCAAAATAGCTGGAGGAGCGGCCCATGTTCTCATTTGTAGCATCACTACTTCAGTCCGGTCGAATTCATTTATTAGTTCTTGATATCTTCTAAACACAGTTTAATCGTTTATTTTGTCAGTAATTTAAGATAAATGCTAGTGGAAGACGTCTTCTTCGTGAATTTTACTGTGGTTAACGGTTCTAGCCACAGATGGTACGAGTGACCGGAATTTAAAAAGTTGTTAGATAACACTGACATAATGACTAATCCAATTTTATAACGAGCCTCCTTGTGTTGTATCGAACTTCTGTTCAAATTTTCCAACAGATGCGTCATAATCAATCTTTTTCTTTTTTGCATATTTCTTTTATTTACAGCCAGAGAAATTAAACAAAGTATGTTGTGGTTTTGTTACTCTAAGTTGTTTTCCCTAAAAACTTATGTAGTTGTCATATGTTAAATGCATATGGAGACGTAATGGTCCTTATTTTCCTGGCATGGCTATGGCCAAAACTACCGAACCCATAACAGTAAAAAAAATTGATTTTAAAGTATATTTGCATTCAATAAAAATAAAGAATATAATACAAAGATTTTAAGGCAGAATTAGATAGGTTTTCTTCTTCCGCTGAAAATACAAATATTATTTGTAGAACTAAATTCAGAAAGCTAGAACTTGATGATTGACATAGTTTTGGTGGACGTTAATTTTACTGCTATTTCTTACTATTTCCTATTTTTTTTAGATGTGTGCGTTTGCTAAGAATGACGAGAGTGAGATATTTACTATGTTTGGTAAACTTCAGTGGGTTAGATGTGGAACATTGTTAAAAAAAACGGCTCTTTTGACCTTACTTATATTTTGTGAAGTACTTTTTTGGCGTTTTCAGTTTTGAAAATTTTGAGATTTAAATTTATGATAGTTAACGAATTGATCATAGTTTCATGCCACTGTTTTCTTATGAAAATTTTTCTCAAGGTACTTCTTCCTGATTATTCTCTAGAATTATTCACGACAGTGGCTTTACGCAGGAAGACTTTCGACAATATAAACCTGTTGTCTATAGTAACACGATCCAGTCGATTGTAGCCATACTTCGTGCCATGCCTAATCTTGGAATAAGCTTCCGGAACAACGAGAGAGAGGTAAGTTGAGCCACCTTGTGGATTTGGGCAATGATGTAGAAGATCTATAGACATCTGATACATGTACATCATTTGCAAGTATGTATGAAATAATCGATCCTTCTGCTGAAACAACCAATAGGTAAAATATTTTCTCGAGTGCAACCAAGAAATACACTTTATCACAAAAGGTAAAGAGAAAGAAAAAAAGGGGGGAGATAGAAAAACGTGGCCATGTTGTCCATTCTGGGAACCTTTCAAATCTACTTCCACACATTCGCATTCGGAAAATTACAATGAAAACCTATTATGGTTGTTATTGTCCTTTTTCGCACAAAGCTACACAATGGACTACCTGCGCTTTGTCCACCGCGAGGAATCGACCTTAGATTTTAGCGTTGTAAGTCTGCAAAATTACTATACCTCTACATACTTTCGCATCCAAATTGCTGATATCGTTGCTGTACAAAACCAATTACCGTTTCTTTTCCTTACCCAAAACTAATGTATATTAGATGATCCCTTTGAAAGTTCTCAGATATGCAGAAAAATTCTCTGGTGATTTCAACTGCTCACGCAACAATTGCGTATATCAACGCGTGAATGCTTCAAATACGTGTGTGGGTTGTATTTTTTTTGGCGATGAAGCAGCTGCTAGAACTAGACTTGTAATTAACAGTGGCTGTACTTATGAAAGAACAACTTTTAGCCAGCTTTCATTACACCATATAGTTATCAATTGTGTGGCACCCTATGCAAATACTTTGAATGACTTTACAACAAGCAGCATTATTATGTCAATATATACATTCACGTAGGGTATATACATCAAATATTAAAGTTACTGAGACTTTAATTTTTTTAAGTTCCAAACTCTTATATCAGAACAGGGTATCGTTTTTAAATTGGAATAAAATTTGCTTGAATTATTTTTAATCACACACACGTTGTATTGGAGGCGAATTAAAACTTACCCAAAAGTTTCTTCTAATGACTGTCAATTACCAACAGAGGTGTGCACAGGGGAGGGGGGGGGGATAAGCAGGGCATGACCCTCCAATAACTCTAGGCATATAGACTTGGTAAGTTGGTGTAATGCTGTTTACTTCTGTGCTTATGATGTATGTGCGTGCGTTGATATGGTTTATATGTGTGTGTATATATATATATATATATATATATATATG